CAGGACAAGGATCCATCATCTATCCTGATGGCGGAAGGGCAGAAAAGCCTGATATTTTCTTTACCCTACACTGCCCATTTAATGAAAACAACTAGACTTAAAATATTTTTTCCATAGAAATATAGGATGTCTAGGAAGTCTTTTATTCTTATCTGGGTCTTTTTATATCCAGTGTATATTATTCATGGAGGTGAGTTCTAGTAGAGGTTAGAACTCAGGTCATTCTTGGGAGTTTTTGCTGCCAATAGGCTTTGAAGATCATTTAGCTGAGTCCCTAAAACCCAGCGAAGCCAGAGTCCAAGTGAAGCAAGTTAAGCAGTCATTCTTAATTTCACTAGTCTTTGAGCAGTTTTGATTACTGAACTTGTTCATTGAGTTGGGTCCTATTTTTTTTTAATTAATTAATTTATTTATACAAGCACTGGGTACAGTCAGAAGCGCGGGAGGGTGAGAGAATTCACCAGAGCCAGAGCGGGGAACAGAACAGACAGACCAATGAAGTACGTTGCTGAGGGGAGCAGCTGGTGCAACAGGAGATGTCTGCGTGCCATGTGGGACCCTTGCCAGTGGCCGGGGATCGAACTGGTGCTGCAGAGGCTGCGGGCAGCTTCGCAGACCAGCGTTCAACAGCTGAACCACCAGGGGAGGCCCGGGTCTGATTTTTTGTTATTGATGTTGGCAAATGATTCTGACTAAAGTTATCCTTCCAAGTATTAGGGTCTCAGCATCCCTATGGAGGCCCCATGAAACACTTGATGGACTAGTCTATGTTAATTGTGCCCCAGTCACACAGGTGAAGCACATTTGGCTTAAAATGTAGTATTACAGTGAGTAGCACTGTGGTCCAGACAGGTGGTTGACAGCAAGATGGTTGAACACAGAGACACCTGGATTTGAATTTGGTCTCTCCCCACTCCCAGCTCAGCAACCCTGAATTAAAGGGTTACCTAATCTTTATGAATCTCAGTATTCGCATTCATTCATTGGTTTAAAAATAGTACTTCACCTTGTATTTCCTCACTAAATAGGAAAACAGATAAAAAATGTGTAGTTTCCTTTGTAGAGAGTAGATGATTAGTAGATAGCAGCAATTAAGAACTATTTTTTTGTTAGTGAAGGGGATCACAAGAACTTTGTCTTTATCTAACTTCCCTGCACTCTGGTTTAAAGATTTATTTATACAAGCACTGGGTACAGTCAGAAGCATGGGAGGGTGAGAGAATTCACCAGAGTCAGAGTGGGGAACAGAACAGACAGACTGAGGAAACACGCTGCTGAGGGGAGCAGTGGACACGGCAGGAGAGGTCTGCACGCCATGTGGGACACTCACCTGTGGCTGGGGATTGAACCTGCGCTGCAGAGGCTGCAGGCAGCTTCACAGCCCAGCGCTCAACCGCTGCACCACCAGGGGAGGCCCTGCACTCTGGTTTTCTAAACTACTATATATGTAATACTAGTACTCAAATCTGCTACAGTGGTTAGATGCAAACTTCTTCACTCCGTGTCTGACACATAAGTGCTCAGTGAATGTGGTTGTTACTTTATAGTTGCTATCTAACATGGCTGTCTTTGGGGCCTCCCTGGTGGCTCAGGGATTAAAGACGCAGCACTCTCAAGCTATAGCCAGTCACTGAAGCATTACTTTGATCCCCAGGCTGCCAGGGAGCTAACCCATATGACCTCTCCTGTCTCGCCTGCTGCTCCCCTCAGCAGTGTATCTCAGTAGATCTGCCCATTCTGCTCCCCACTCTGTCTCTGGTGAGTTCACTCACAACCCGTGCCTATGCTTATGCCCCAGTTCTTGTATGCATAAATAATCTTTAAAAAAATTGAAATGGCTGTCTTTGGACAGCTAGATAAAATCACATGGTGTATTGAGGTTTAAGTCATTTATATGACTAGGTAGTCTGATGAGTTAATGGGGAAAATAATTCCCTTAGGATTAAAAGGACAGAGAATTACATTCTAGGTTTTATTCCCCCCTCCCTGGCATCAAGTTGATAAAACTATTTGCCAAACCTCAGTGTGATAAAAGCTCCTGGAAGACCTCCTCTATGCCCTTGGAACTCACCAGTGCGCACATGCTGATTTAATGACTCCAACTGCAGCAGCTGTGATATTGCCAGAACTTTCTCTGCTATAGCCACTTGGCACACACACAGGGTGATCTGAAAGTGCTGGGGAATTTTCACTCTCCCAAAGCAGCCATCCAATAACTGACAGTAGCTGATGGGTAAATACCAATAGTCTTTTGTCCCTTGGTTGGGTTAACAGTGAGATATTTCTGCCCCAACTTGCACTTGGATTCTTGAGTCAGAGTCTACTTCCAGGGAGCCTTAATTTAGAATACACACTCTCAGATGGGACAACAATATCTTTCTTTGCACTGGGTTGTGGAGAGAACCCAGGAAATGGTAGGTATTATGAACTTTGAAACCAAACTACAAATGTTCTATGGAAGTAAAGACATTCTTTTGCCAGAATTGAAAATTTCCTCTCACTCATATATATAAGACCCAAGAACCAGCCTAAGTTATCACCGAACTTTTAGGATGAATCATTTATCCTAATTCAAGCCACCGTGTTCTCATTTCAGGGTTTCTGGCATCTCATACTGTGTCCATCTTTCTCAAACCCTATTGTTTCCTTCATGAAATCCTGTTTTATTTCCTCTTTAGCATGTATCACTATTTGAATTTACCTTATTTCTTTATATAGGCCCTCTTTGCCCATCACCGGGCTTTAAACTCTACAAGCACAGGGATAATGTCTATCCACTTGAATCTGTATCCATAGAACCTAGAACAGAGCCTGGTGTATGTCAGGTGTGCAATAAACGAAGGGATGGATAAACTGATTAATCCGTTCTCTGCATCCCCATTTATAGGAAGTACATAGGGTCCCATGAGCCCTTTACTCAGTCTTCCCCAGTGTTCACATCTTGCACTGCAGTGCAACACCAAAGCCAGGAAGTTGATAGAGGGGTCTTTTTAAAGGGAAAATTGAATTATGTCATTGTCCTGTTTACCTGCCAAGTGGCTTCCCACTTCCCACAGAATGAATTTGTTTCCTGTGTCCTACACAACTTTTCATGACCTGCCTCTTCCAAACTCTGCAGCCCAATCCCCTCCTCTTCCCTGACATCTTGGCCCCACAAGTTTTGATCTTACCAGGCCTTCCAAGGCATCTGACAGTCTCCCACCTGAAGTCCTAGAATGCTCTTTCCTCTATTTTATGATGTATGCCTTCCTATCCATCCTGTCTTAGCTTAGACGTCACCTTCTCAGAGGGACTTCCACTGGCCATCCTACAACTATGCCTCATCTAATTTTTTTCATAGCATTAATCAACATTCATTTGATTAATAAATTTTATTGTGATAGTGGTAATGCTCACTGATGAGCGTGCTAGGGGTTTGTGATGTCCCATGTTGTCTTCCTTTGGGTGGCCTCTAATTTTAGACCCAGCTGGGAAGACTCATGTCAACTCATGTTTACAGTGACCCCCTTTGAGCATGGATCTTCCAGGCCCCCCTTTATCCTTTCTCACCATCACTGTCCCCAGAAGTGGGGGAGGGCTGGCCAGCGGTTGGACTCATGCCAATGCCCCTCCTCCTACCTCCCAACCCCCTGCCTGTTGGTTGTTAGGACTCAGCCTTATTTCTCTGAGGTTGTACAAACGGCTCAGTCCATAGGCAATTGCAACCTGCAGGGTGGGGAAATCACCACACCTGTGGGCAGCTCTCAACCAACGCGGTCTGGAGGCTGCTCGGTAAACACTCTGGCCCCTCTCCCTGGATCGCAACTTAGCAATATCGGATGGTTTCACTCCTAGCAGGAATGTAGGGGACCCAATAAGACATCAGTGCAAAACAATAACAACAGTACAAAACACAACAAAGCAAAAATGGGCAATTATAAACCAGAGACATCCTGCAGGGGAGGAGGAGGGAGAGGGATCAGAGGGAGGGAGGGAGGCGCACAGGGGACTGAGGTGATGGTGCAAGGGTGCACTGGGGAAGAAAACTCTGGGGACTGCACCTGAGGGGGTGGGGGGAAGCAAACATTGTTTAAAAATGAACAATGATGTAAAAAATTAAAAAAAAATTAACAAAATTAAAAAAAATAAAAAGAAACTTAGCTGAGCCATTCTGAACAGCACTCACAGGTCCTGGTGGAACAAAGCTCCTGCTACCTTCACCAGTAACACCAGGAATGCATCCTTTTCCTCCCGCTTCGTCACACTCTCCCTCCTCCCTCCCTCCTGCCTCCTGGAATCACTTGCCCCTGCTTTCAGGGGAACCCAAACTCAGGCAATACCTTCACATGAATTACCTTATTCATCGTGCTACCAATCCGATGAGGTAGAAATTACTATTATTTCCATCTCAGAGACAGGGGAACTGAATGAACGAAAATGAAGCATCTTACCAAGGGCATTTATGGACGTGCTCACATCCCCCAATGACTGAGGGTGGTTCCAGGGGTGTAAACTCCCCTACCTTTCAGGCTCCCTCAGGCTGTGGCTTCCAAAAAGTCCCAGGGCTGTGTAGAAGGCATTGAGGAAGCACAAGGAGAGTCAGGGTAACAGCAGAGCAGGAATTCTAACCCAGAAGTGGGAGGTCAGAGCCACCCTTCTAACTTGTATGTTTTACCTCCTCCCAAGGAGGAGGCTCAGGAAGCTGAAGGCACACCCTGAAACAGCTGTGAGCGATGAAGCCATGATTCCAAATTAGGTCTAGTAGATCTAGGCTCAACACTGATTACTCTCCTTGTTTTTTTAAAAGGCCAGATCTACTGCTCTTTTCTTGAAACCAGCAGGAAGAAAATCAGTTTAGCAAAACCATGTTGGACTATAGCAGCATTTTATTACAAATCTGCAGTGGACTACAGAAACATGTCTCTATCTTGACCAGGGCAAGCAGTTTTTTCCCTTTATCAGAACCCTGATGTAATTTGCAATTGCCAAGGTTGAAGAACCTCTACTATGAGGATTTCTCCACTTTGGAGATTTTTTTAATTATTATTTTAAAAAGATTTATTTTTATTTATCTATGCATACAGGAACTGGGGTGTAGGCCAGAGGTGTAGGGAGAGGGTGAGAGGATTCATGGAGCCACAGTGGGGAGCAGAACAGGGAGAGCTACAGAAATACACTGCTAAGGGGAGCAGCTGGGGAGACAGGAGAGGTCTGCTGCACTATGTGGGTTAGCTCCCTGGCCAGGGATCCAACTCATGCCACAGTGGCTAGCAATAGCATGATAGCACCGAGATTTTAATCCATGCACCACCAGGGAGGCCCCACTTTGGAGAGTTCTTGACAGTCTATGAAGAAGAGACCACTCTCTTCCCATGAGAAGTGCTGCAGGAAGCAGTCAAATACAAGTGCTCTCCAAAGAAATGAGTGGGTCGATGGGGAAATTCTTGTCAATCTCCTCCTTTCCCCGCTGCCCCAGGTCATCACTATTTCTTATCCTCAGAAATTTCTTTACTCCTGTCCTCTTTCAATCAACTCTCAACCCTGAAGCCACTAAGATCTATTCAATATTCTGGTCTCATTGTGTCCTTCAACTTAAAATCTTTCCTACTTCCACTTAACTTCTTTAGGATAGAGACAGATTTCCTGACTTTGGCCAGCAAGCAGGGTTTTATCCATAAACTCCCATCAGCACCCACACTTCTCATTATACTTTGATAACTCTATAAATGCACCAGGCCTCCTACCACCTAGAACTCTGCAAAGGCTGCTCTCTACCTAGGACACTCATCTTTCTCACCCTGTCCCTGTGAAACCCTATTCAGTCTTCAGGTCTTAAGCTCCTTGACTTCCCCTAAGTAGCTCAAGTTCCTCTGATCTATCTTCTCATGGAGTCCTGTGTCTTTGTGGTATACAGCATAACTGGGGTGTGATTTTTTTTAAATGTCTGTCTCTCCTACTAGAGTGTAAGCTTCAGGGGGTAGGGCAAGTTTCTGATTTTGTTCACTAGTGTATCCCCAGTGCCTTACCTAGCAATGGGTACACAGGAGGTCCTGGAATGATGGAATGAATGAATGAACAACATGGGATTCATCTGACAAGGATAGGGTGAAATATTGGAAACATTGTGCATTTACTCCTGTTCTTTCATTTTTAAAGCTAACAAGATTCTATTGTTGTAATTCTCCATTATCCAGCCAGTATTGTATGCAATAACTTTATTAAGGTCAAATAAATATCACAATACAGATTTATTCAACAGGATCCAGAAATGGGTCACAGGTATCATCTAAGAAACAAAGCTAAAATGCTTCTAACATCACAGATCACATGAGCTTATAAATCAATAACAACTTTTACCTGGAAATACAGATGTTCAGCTTCCCTTGCTATTGGGCCCTGGAATTCAAACATAGAGGTGAAGATTGGCATATTCTTGGCAATAAATATATTTTGGGGAATATTTCTTGAGAACCTGCTTTGGCATACAGAGAGGTTCATGGAAGTCATTTTTAATTTATGGTAACACTCAAATCAGAATTAATAATTAGTAAGTTGAGCTTTGACTTGAGAATTAAATAATTCTTCATTTAATAATAATTAAATGAAGGAACATATTAACTTTATAAGGAAACAGGATTTATAAATTTACCTGCTAGTGTAGGTTCTCCAGAATTATCTTTATAAGTCAATATTTCAGATAGCTTCTTGATTATGGTGTCTGATATCTGTATCTCCACTATTCTGAGAAAACAACACTTGATAAACACAGTTACTGGATCTATTTTTCATGGTCCATAGGATAAGAGCCACAAAACACCATAGAAAGTTACAAGAATGTAAATTTCAGCTAAGTAAATAGAATAAATATTTGGCAATTATCATATGTATAACACTGAATAACTACTAATAGGGAAAAAAAACCCAACCCTTAGTTACAATGCAGTTGAGACTGGGTAAAGCCAGAGAGACAAATTTGCAAGTATACAAAGTAGTGAATATATTTTTTAAACGTCCATTTAACAAATTCATGGTGCAAACTGGAAAATTTTCATAAATACAGTTCAAATATTTATTTTGTGAGAAAATGCTTATTCATGCACTAAATCATAAGGGCACTGATTCATCAAATTAAAAAATACACAGTAATTGTCTAAAACAAATACTTAAGTCTCACAGTCTTACAGGGCCTACAACGAAAAAATCATACATGCATGTTGTGGTACACCAAACTGTCTTATAGAAATCATTGAAACATCAAAACGCATAGGAAAACTCAATGCTAGTTAATTTACTTTATGCATATTACATACTAGAGACTTTAAGCTACAAAATGCTACTACAATCTCAACACACATACAAAACGACCATAAAAGTATCTGTGTATATAATAAGGTCCTCTCCAATTAGCCATCTATGATGAATAATAGATCTTCTCATGTCAGCTCATCTCTAAGTATCATTTATCATGACCCAGTCTTTTCTGCTTTAATGAGGACTACAGATCTCTGATTTACATTAAACACTCTCTATATTAATAATGGATGGAAACTTAAAAATTTCTTCTGCCACCGAAATGGAAACTGGTGAGGCTTATCTCCAGAAGAGTGCAAATAAGACCTTGTTAAATCTGATTGGTAAAGGAAGCAGGGCCTGTGGGCTGTTGCCCAAACTCATCAGAGGCGGGCCCCAAGCTGGCCTGCTGACTGTACCCACCACTTGACCCATAGCTGTCTTGGTTGTACCCGCCTTGGTTATAGCTGCGTGAGTGCTTCTCCATGGGCTCTGAAAGGTATCTCTGTCCTGAGGAGTGCCAGCCAGTCTCCTTGAAAACAAACCAGATGTTTCCAGCCCAGAGGATAAAGTTCAAGAATCCAAAGACCTGAAGGAGGATCAAAGCAATGAGTTGGTAGAAATCACAATTTTAGGAAATTTTCACAATACCAAAAGTCACCTGTTTTTAACTTTTTTCTTCCACGGTGAAGCCTCTTGCAATTTTTTCATTTGGACTCACTATTTCAATACTAATTCAATAACTTAATTAAGCAGCTAGTTTTACACTTTGATAAATGTATGAAAATACCTGAATTTATTGAAAGTTTACTATACATATGTGTTATATAAAGGATTTCATGTGTATCGACTCACTGAGTCTAAGAGGAAGAAGCTAGTATACCCACATTAAAGATGTGGACAGGGGTGAGAAGTCAAGGTCACATGGGATTCAAGTTCTAGTCTGTCTGACTCCACAATCTGAATCTTTAAGTCATTAAGTCTCCAAATGAGGTATTCCCTACGGCATTTAAGATCTCACCAAGGGGTGCAAGGTTGAGTATTTGCCTTTTAACAGTGATACATTAATTGATAAGTTTGCCTTCACTTTTAGCTTAGATTTAAATTTTCGGTTTATGATAAGAATATTAAGGAACTGAGTCAAGTTACAGAAAGAATGGAGTAAGCAATGGTACAGGAGGCGTGTAGATCAGTGTGACAGTGTACAGGATAGTTGTTCTGCAGCCTTTTCCAGAACAGATGAGTTTACCTGGGAATTAACCACAGGCAGTCAGCTTTAAGAGTGTCCTATTAGAGACAAATAACAACAACAGGGTACAAAGCTGTGATGACATTGAAGAATATTTAGAAAACACTCCAGCAAGACACTAAACAATAAAAATGAACTTGTGCATGGTCATAGTTCTGGTGTAGGGTCCAAGAAGTACCTCAGTGGGCAAGCTTTATCCCTTAGTTGCTGGATGGTGGAATGGGCTAGAATGCCCTGGGGATGGGGATGGGGGACTAGTGCAGTCAAGATGAGGCACCTTGGGGGCTTGGAGCAAGGGTTACTTATCAAAGTGTCTCAGTATTCTAGCAACATGGGAATTGGGGCACATTAAATGTCAGACTTGGGGTCATTCCCACCAGCTTCAGTCTGGGCTCTGCACTTGCTCTGTGACCTTGTATAAGGTGGTTATCCTCTGGACCTCAGCTTTTTTTTTCCTTACATGAAATGAAGACAATGATTTCTTCCTTGAGGGGCAGATATGAAGATTAAAGAGGATAGGCACAAAGTAGCTAGACAGTGCTGGACAAGTTAGTAAATGCTTACTGACTGGTAAACTATACCCCAAACCACTTTTTAATATACATCTATGAATTATATTCATTTGACTCTTCTGTTGCAGCATAGATTGAAATGAAACTTTGACAGTTAGACCATATTTTTGACCGATGTCAATAGCCAAAATTGAGTATCTAGGTCTCTAATTGGTCTCATTAAAGACTGGTTTATCCAGTCTCCCTCCTCTCTTTCTTGTTACGTTTTTCCTGTTGTATCCTCTTTCCTTCCTTTAACATTGCTGACATTTATTTAGCATTATTTTGTGCCATGCTCTAGGCTCCTTGCCAAGGGACATACAAAACATAAGTAAGTACTGTTAGTGTAACAGCTGCATGATCAAAATGAATCAAGTAATCACTCCCAAAAGTCACACCAGTTATAACTGGAGAGTTTGGAGAATCAGATAGAAGAAACAGGGCTCACATAGCTCAATATGATTTGAAACCAAATAAGTTTGCAGTGAAAAAAGTTGTTGTGTTTTAGCAGATAAATACTCTTTTTCTTTGCTTTTGGTAATAGAAATCTGATTTCCTTTGCAAGCTCAAGTGGCAGTTCAAGTGGCTTGAGCTTTCTTCCGCAACGCTGAATCTTGTGCAGAGAAATTCAATGTTGGATAAAACTTGATTAGACTGTTCTTTGGTATCTGATATCTAGAATTCTGGTCCTGCTCTAAAGCCTGCCTTTTTAGAATCTGTTCCTTCAGGTCTCATCAATTTACTGAGCTACCTGATATTCTTCCAATGATTTTTTTCCCCTTGATAGAGTCAGTTTTCATTACCTGCATTCCAAATATCTTAACAAACACAGACATTGGTACCAGAAGTGGGGTGAAAACACAGACGTCAGGGATTTGAGGATTTTTTTCATTTAGCCCATTGGAATTGAGCTTTCTGTCAGTAGGAACTGGAAAGCCCTTTGCTGATATGGATCTATAAGTTTAGGAACACCAGATTTGTTCTTTCATGTACAGCATGTTATTGTATTCCATCTATTCCTCGTTTTGATTTTAACAGATAGTTCATATTTTTTCTCATCCAAAACCTCTTATTTTCTAGTCTAAAACTTATTAAAGACACCAGAGATGGAATTAAATGGACTAGGCAGGATGTCATAATTCATTAGAAGGAGCTCACTGGGTGGTGCAAGGGGTTAAGACACAACCTATCTGCAGCCACTGCAGCACAAGTTCAATCCCCTGCCAGGGAGCTACCCATATGACATAGCTGACCTCTCCTGACTCGCCTGCTGCTCCCCTCAGCAGTGTATTTCGATCTGCCTGTTCTGTTCCCCACTGTCTCTGGTGAATCCTGTCATCCCCCCACACCTCTGGCCTGTACCCCAGTTCTTGCATGCATAAATAATTAAATCTAAAAAATAATTTATTAGAAGATTGATTATAAACTAACAAACATATAAAATGATTTTATTTTTGTTCCTTTAGATTTTGGGATCAGGGTTTCAATAATTTTCATTAAGCATTGCCTACAAACAAACCACAGATGAAGTTACATGCATTTTATTGTACACCCCAAAGAATTCATTTCCAGATCTGGCTATACATAAATAAAAGTGACTTCAAGACCCCAGTACATAGTTCATTTCCATATTTATTTTCTTGCCAAGGCAAGAGTCATAGTCAAATCACAAGATGCTGATTAGCTACCTTTTCTCTTTCTTAAATACCTTCCAAAATTAAATTTCAGAGAGCTCTAGAAAAATAAGTTAAACCTGAAGCAAAGACAATTATTCCTAGGGTTGCTAAAGAATGTTTTTCTTTCAGCAAATACCACTGGGCCTTCTATTCTTTTGTAACTATTGCTTTTTGCTGCCATTATAGCTTTTGTCTTTCTCAGACGTAGCTTTTTTCTTGGAATAACACAAGTCCTTACACTCATAGAATAAGAATCCAGTTTAGCAACCCTGCTATCTGTCAGGTTTTCTGTCCTCCTTTAAGAGCCATATACTTGATGATAATATTTTACTTTGTTCAACTAATATAATTCAGCTTTTCCAAAGTTCTCAAGCAACTAAACCAGGCACACAGAGAAGATAAAAAAATTACCATAACTATTGTAAGTACTTTTTATATGCTATATTTCTTTCTGCACCCTACTAGGTAGGTCTGAATATTTTTCTCTAGATGATCAATACAATGCATTCTAATTATGTGTGGATGGAATAATGTTTTCTTCCCAAGAAACCTCTATCCATAAAATATTCCCTTTAACTTCTGCCTTAAATTTCATATTATTTTTATCTGCTTCTGGCTTAGAATTTTGACTGACTGTCATCTAAGCAGCTGCCAATACCTGCTGGGTTCTTACTAAGGACTCTGTAATTGGCAGCACTAAAGTGTATGGGTTCTGACAATAGAAATCGTGAAAGGAATGGATCATCCTGCACATAGAGTAAAATGTCACCTTTTAGATTAGCCTACTTTTGAAAGCAGGTATTTCCAAGATGACTTTCTAAGATATTTTTCCTATTCATTTGATTGGCAAATGAAGATTGGAAAGGGGAAACATACCACAGAAGTGTTTAAGCTGGACATGACAGGGCTGTGGACAGCCATGCACTTGTTGGAGGGTTGTTTGCAAGCTGACATCAGTAACAATACTTCCTTGGGGTCTGTTGCCACCTTGACATCGGACAGTCCTTTTGCCCAAGCCGATGAACCCACCAACCACAAGAACGAAAAGACAACAGTGACGATGAAGTCCTACAAAAAAGAAAGAAAGAAAGAAAGATAAAATAGCAAAAGAAATGTCAACTCAATTAGTTTGTAGAAACCATTTGTTTTGCCTTTTGGAAAATCCCAAGCTCGCATAGCACTGGAACAAGGAACAGCATACTGAAAAATAAATGAAAGACTTTTTTATATTATATTTACATAAATAATATTAGTAATATCTATTGATGCTTATTATGTCTCAGGAACGATACTGAGTACTTATAATCTTCGCTAAATTGTTCTTTTGCTAGCCCTGGAATGGAGTGACTATTTTTGTCACATTTGCAGATAACCACACTAATATCGACAATGGTTGAAAATTTGTCAGACCCACAGATAATCAGGGATAGCATCAGAATTCAAGTGCAGACAATTGACTCCTGAGCCCATGATCTTAACCATCATCTTATGATGATTTCAAACATTAAGAGAGATTTGCTTATTATTAAAGCCTCCAGGATGTCAATCTGTATTCATTCACTTATCTGCTCATTTAACAGACCCATGTGTTAACTATTGTATGCCTGTGACTGTGTTAAGTGGGAGACAGTAATAGCTGTAATATTTTGAGTACCTTTTAAGGAAAAGAGACTTTATATACAGTTCTTCTTAAAAGTATGTTAGGCAGTATTTTTAAAGTCCACTTTAAAGATTAGGAAGCTGAAGCCCAGAGATTTCAGGGAACACATGGAAAATGGCACGGCTAGAATTCAAATCCAGATCTCTCTGAATTTGAAACCAATCTGCCATGAATGCAGGAGAAAGAAGCTTCTTTGCTGATATCAAACAAAATCTCTATCATGTCAAGAGGTGAACTTTTTAAAGAACTGAATCACAAAGTGGTCTTTAAATCTCCAAGATTCTGATGACGGAGGGCTACTTCTTATATCCTCCCTCTTGACAAAAAGGGTTGGCAGAGTCACTGTCCAAGCCTTAAGCTGACACTATTCTAGCACAGAATAATTTTTCAGACTTGCTGTATTTGTGTTTGACTAATATAAAAATGTTGCATACTGCTCATACTGAAAATACCGAAAGGAAAATAGCAAATTTGATATACCAAGAAAACCAGACTTCTTTTCTATCTTGACTGCTATGCCCTTCAACTAGAAAGCTTGGCATTTGTCTCTTTCCTTCCCAAAGGCAGGGCCCATCTGACGTGCTCTGGTTTGCTGTCCCTGAGGGTGTGACTGAAGTACTTTTCATCAAGATCCCAATAGCTACACTGAGGGAAGACTTACGCTCTAAAGATGTTGTCGTGAATGATATTTGGTAAACTGTCATTTTTGTGGGGATCCATTTTACAGGATCCACTGCTAAGAGTGGCTGAATCTTTTGAGTGGTTGGCCTCTTTTCATCCAGAGACTTCTGCTGTTCTATGTTGTCGACTCACCCGTTGACAGTTTTCATGTTAGCTTTAGAAAATGGAGGGCTAAGTTGTAACCTATCTACAGGGTTTTATGGCAAGGGCACTTTAACCTACACCTAATTTTGTTCTATACACCCATTTTTCTTTAACCACCTCCTTTCTTTCTCATTTTGAATGCTGTCTTGAGATTCATATGTTCTTGTAAGGCATCTTGAATCACTTCTGGAATAAGATGGAAGTATAAACAAACAAATATAATATCTATAGCTGTTCTGACATCAGTGAAAACATTTGGAATAAAGAAACTCAAGTACTTGGGTTTAAACTAGAAAATGGAGAAATTACATCGCCTGCACTGCTGGTGGGAGTGCAAACTGGTTCAACCACTATAGAGAGCTGTGTGGAGATTCCTCGACCTACTAAAGATAGAGCTTCCATATGATCCAGCAATTCCACTCCTAGGTATTTACCCAAAGGACACAGAAACATTAATTCCAAAGGGCACATGCACCCCTACATTTATAGCAGCACTGTTTACAATAGCTAAGCTATGGAAATAACCCAAATGCACAAAAATAGAGAACTGGATCAGATCAGGAAGATGTGGTACATATACACAATGGAATATTACTCAGCAATCAAAAAAGATTAACATATGCAGTTTGCAGCAACATGGATGGAGCTAGAAGGGATCATGTTCAGCGAAATAAGTCAGAAAGAAAAAGAAAAATACCAGATGGTCTCACTCACAGCAGGAATTTAGAAAACCTAAATAGGAGACCAGGAAAAAGACTAATCAATACAAAGTAATAATCAAAGTCAACAAGCAACTATAAACCAGAGACACACTACGGGGTGGGGGGGGTGTATTAGGGAGGGGCGGGGAGAAGAAGAACTAGAGTCAAAATAAGGGGGGGTGCAATTGTATGGGGAATATAACCAAAATGAAAATGCATACATTGTACAAAGAAGATGAAAAATGATGTAAGAATTATATAAGATAAAATATTAAAAAAATAGCTTTGGGAACTCTAAAAATAAAAAAAAAAAAAAGAAAATGGAGGAGTTACAAGTAAATACACCAGGTCAACTGTGTCAAATACAACTTTCATTTCATGCTCAATCTGGTACCTTATTTGATCATGCATTTATGCATTCCTATACACGGTCAATTTTTCTAGTAATGTACCAGATATTGGACAAGGTCCCATGTGGGATTAAAAATATATACTATGGATTGTGCTTTCTTGATATTACATATTTGTTAGTGCCCATCAATTTCTTATCACTCCAATTATAAATAGATCTGTTAAAAGGTCATTAGGATGGGGAAATTTAAGAGAATAAAATATCATGTGAAGTCCTATCAATTGGAAACTAGAGAAAATAACATCAAACTTTTGGGTTTATTTTTTAAACTAGCAATAGTGATAACACTTAACATTTTGAACACTAATTATGTGAATAGTATTATTCCAAGTTTGCATGTATTCAGTCATTTAGTCCTTACAATAACATTCTGAAATAGAGACTTACCTCTTTCTCATCTTACAGTTAAGGGAACTGAGGCACAAAAAGTTCAAATAAAATTGCTGAGAGTCATAAGTTAGTAAGTAGGGGAGCCAGGATTCTAAGCCTGACCATCTACAATACTTCCAGGACCTAGAGTTTGGCTATTATATACTATTTCTCATGTTGACTGTAGGAATAATTTATTTATTTAAAACAAGTTCATTAAAAAACCTAAAAGCAGAACTTGAGGTCCTGCTTAATTTACATATAAGATAGTAAAGAATGATTTTCCATAAACAAACTTCATTATAGAAGTCAAAGATCTATGTCCTCAGAGTACTAAAATACTATTTTTTTAAAGAGGGACCAATATATTGTACTAAAGTATCTCATAGGCACTAAAAGCTCAGAGTCTGTCATCAGATGTGACTGGGTTGAATTTTGACACCTAAATGGGGTAATAACAGTATCGGTCTCACAGAATGGTTGTGAGGAGTGGAAATATTTGTTTGCCTATTCATGCTACTAAATGTCAGTTCCACCAGGGAAGGGACCCTGTATACCTTGCTCATTGCTGGATCTTGGCAGAGAGGTGCCAGCAACATTTGTCGAATAACAGAATAATGAAAAAACAATGAAATATAAACAAAATAGTCCCAATTTTATTTTAAAAATCACACTTATGTACACAACACTATAGAAGAGCTTACCATGTCCAATTGGTAGGATTAAAGATTATTTTTATTTTGTTTTAGATAAATTTGTGTATTTTTAAACACTTCTAATTTTATAATTAGACCAATTCACAACAACATGGCAATGCGATCAAGGCAGTGATGGATTATATCAATGACTCTCCCAGACAAAACTTCAGATGGCCTTATTTGTTCTTACAGCTGCATCGGGATTTATAATTAGACCAAGTAAGAAATGTGATCAGAATTGAGAGTTTTTGCTTCAAAGGATTTCAAAAAGTAGCCTCCAGCCACACTTTGCTTAGTTATAGAAAACAAACAACTATAACTAAGCAAAGTATGAAGATGGGGAGAGATGTCAAATATTCTAGCTAAAGTATATACTAGTCTGAACTTTTCTATTTTTGGCTTTGGGTGTCAGCCTGATTCTGAGAATACTTGCAGGGAGTGAGAAATAGTGGGAAGAAACCCTGACCCTTCTTTCTACACAGCCTTTATTCTTCTGCTAAGGTACCCAACCGGAACCCAAGGGGAGGGAACCCACTGGTGTGACACATGCAGGACCCCCTCCTGGGTGGACAGCGTGGTGGAGAAGGGCCGGGCAACAGAAGTTGTCCTGAATTGAGGCATCTTAGGAACACCAGCAATGGCAGCTGCCATTTATATTTATGGAGCACTTTCTAATGCAGACACTCTGCTGAGCACTTACAGGCATCATTAACCTCACGACATAGGTACTTATGTTAGCCCTGCTTTACTTATGAGAAAACTGAAGCATAGGCAGGTTAAATACTTCACTTATAATTAATGCCCAGCTTGACTACTGTAGCATATAATGAGCTTTCTGAAAAGGTGAAGAGGGATGCTCTTTGCTATATTTTATGTGGATAATTGCTTCAGTTTATGTTCTCTAAATTTTGGTCATTTTAACACTATCCACAGTGGGCATCAACTATTATAGGTTTGATTTTATCCACATAACTTCTGTATTATTGTTTAACATTTCATACAAAGCAAGTTACCCTTTTTACATAAATAAGCCTGTCATAGAAGGAAATTCTATGCATATTATAATGTTAAACCAATGCAACTTGCCACAGGTAGAAGAAAATTGCAAATATAAATGCTATCCACTGCAAACACAATACCTTAAAATCTAGCTCTGAATGTATGCCCATGGTTTTGGAAATAAATAAATACAACAGGTATATTAAAGAAATTCTAGCATGTCCTAATCAGAAGAGTTGAAGCTAAACTCAGTAAGAAGTTAAACTCAATAACGAGTTCTCACTCGTTATTTAAGGCCATGTGATCACCCATCTAAAACCCTTTTCTGCATCAAGAGAGGCAAATGCCTTGCACTTGGGAAGTGACTGTCTTATTCTGATGGTGCAGACATGAACCAGTTACAA